CCCCGCCGCGCCTTCTTTGTGTCCCGCCGCTCGGGAGAGGCTCCTGCCCAGCAGGGAGCGAGGCCCGGAGGGGCCCCGGCCTGGCGGCGGGCTGGAGCGAAGGGCCGGGGGAGCCGGCGCCCCAAGCTTCCTGCAGCAACAAGTTGCGCTCCGAGTCCGCGGGGGCGGCCGGTCTTTCTCCTTCCCGGATGGAGAAAGGTTTGCCGTGGCTCCTGTGGCCGGCTGCAGCCCTTTGTTAGGATCGGCACGTGCCCGACTGGGGGCGTCCCCCGCAGGACTCATTCGTGTCCCAAGCAACCGCGGCGTTGTGTTGGGTCGAACTACAGGAAAGGGTCTTTTTGGTTTGGGGACCGAAGATTGGAATGTCGGCCACGTCATATAATTCAACTTCGATGTTACGTATTCTTCTTTTCTCACTCGTGTGTGAGTGTCCTCTTCCAAAATCCTCAGAGCTGTCCTCTCTGTCCGGGAGCCAAGGTGGAGTTCAGCTCAGAGGATTGATGCTAAGGGTAGCAACACAGACCCCTTCTTCCCTCCCGCTGTGCACCACGTGCTTTACCTGTTAGATTGCTAACCCCCCCCACCCCATGCGAAATCGCCCTTTTCATAGATGGTAAAAGAAGGTTGGAATGTAAGCAACTGTCATTGTCACAGAGGAAATAAGTGGGACCGAGCCTCCTGTCCTGTCTCAAAAACTTGGGCTACTGTCTATTTAGCAGTGCCTTTAGTTTAGTTTTGTGTGTGTGTGTGTGTGTGTGTGTGTGTGTGTGTGTGTGTGTGTGTTTTGTGTGTTGTGTGCTTAACGTGTCCCATATTTTTTTTCCTGACTTCCCTTATGATTTCTATGCTAGACAATTGCTCTGTGTTTTAGTACAGTGAGGTAGACAAGTGCATCAAAGGACGGGTTAAAAAGAATAAAACTTTAAATCAAGTATTGTTGTGTTAGTGCTGGTCACAATAGAAAGGAAGTAAGTTTTTCAGGGGCCAAGAGCTATCTTTGAGATTTGTTGAGGGTCAGGATGCTTTGTTAAAACAGGGCCAGGATGCTTTCTTAAAACAAAAGAAGCCAGTTCTGGGTAATTTTAAACAGAAAAGGGGCTTTTTGGAAGGGTGCCTACTGGGTGGCTTAGGGAAGTGGCAGGACGGTTGGCTAGCCAGGCTCAGGGACCCAGGACATGCCACAGCATCCCCAATTGGTGTGTGGCTTCGGCTGCTGGCGCGGGACACTGGATGTAGCTGCTGGCACAGCTACCATCATTGCTAGAATGAATTAGAAATTGCCCTGCTTCAGTGACCAGGTCAGGCCCAGGAGAAAGCCTCTGATTGGTTGAGCATGGCTGACCCCTCCCCCACCCCACACAGTTTGGTCACCTCAGCTGCCTCACAATGAAAGGCTGGGCTGCCTTCCACAGGACTGACCAAGGTGGGCTCAGAAGTTGGGTCGTCCCCAGTCCTCCTAAAAAGCACCCTAGATGACATCCATTACAGAGATCCTTTTAAAGAAGAAAGATCTTTGAGAAGTCCCATCAAAAGAAGAAATGAAGCTGGTTGCTCACCATGTTTACTTTTAAACCAGTGTTGAAATGCAGTTCTCTGGACTCCAGTCTCAGAGTCATGTGAGGTACTTAAAAACTGTTTAAAACTGACTTCTCGGGCCCCTTTCCCAGTTTAAATTCAGTGCACTGGAGTGGAAACCAGGACTCTGTGCCCCATAAACCAGGAAAATGGTGAGATGGCCTTAATGATGAGTCTAGTTCCTGTTTAAGGGGGTAACCCTTGAGGGTCGAGCCTGCAAAGTTGAGGGTCTCAAGGTGTCTTCCCCAGAATGGCAGCTTAGTTGTTCTGTGGGTGAATCCGGTGAGGAGATAGTCTGCTGCCTGTGTTGGAGGAAACAGCTACAGAGAATCCTGTGGGTGACATAGAACCCACCCATCCTGTCCCTTCTACAGGCTATAACACTGCTGATAAATAAATGCTTGATTCAACTTTGAAACAGGTAAAAATGGCCATTTGGTGTCAGTCCTCTTCCCCCACCATTTTCTTTCAGCAGTCCTTTATTGAGTGCCTATTGTGTGCCAGGCCCTGGGCATACAGGGGTAAATCAGGAACCCTCACAGCAGCTAGTATAGATCAGTTCAAAGCAATAGTAAAAGTGTATCTGGGAAGCTTTTACCTTTTACTGTCCTGCAGTGTGTTTGGGAAACCTGAAGTGTCCTTGGAAAGTGGCATGAATTGGCCTGCAGGTACTCCAAAAACAAAGAAGCCATTTTCATACTTCAGTTGTCTTAAGAATCAATCCCCCAGGGAACTTGTTAAAAATGCACATTAAGGCTCTGCTCAGTGGCTCAGCCTGTAATCCCAGCGCTTTGGGAGGCCGAGGTGAGTGGATTGCTTTAGCCCCGGGGTTCCAGACCAGGCCAGGCAACTTGGCAAGACCTGGCCTCTACAATAAATAAAAAATTATCCGGGGGTGGTAGCGTGCGCCTGTAGTTCCGGCTACTTGGAAGGCTGAGGCGGAAGGATCGCCAGAGCCCAGAAGGTCGATGCTGGGGTGGCCATGAGTGTGCCACTGCACTCCAGCCTGGGTGACAGAGTGAGATGCCAACTCAAAAAAAAAATGCAGGTTAATAAATTTCATCCCGGAAATTGGGTCCGCTAATCTGCATTTTAAGTTAACACCTTATTTTATGCTGATACAAATGCTGCTCTCAGAAGCTCTCAGGACCTGGTTAATAAATAAGTCTATACCCGACCTTCTCTTTTGGCACGTCCTATTAAAACTGGGATGAAAAGCTCCTTCTTTTTGACTTGACTTTAATCAACGGTCTAGTGTTTCCTAATTAGTGAGATGTTAATATTTTCTTAAAATTTACTTTAAGAGGTACCTACACTTTGTAGCGAGATGTAAAGAAATTTGGACACGCAACTCCAGTTACTAACTCAGTTGGTACGTACATCTTTGCAGCAATGGGCATCGTGTTTCATGTGGCATTTCCCTTTCCCTGCTTGGAAAGCCTGTTTCTCTGTCCCTGTCTGAGGCTTGGTGGCGTTACAGGAAGTGAGCCTTTCTTAGCAGCTGAGCCTTTAATCCTTCCAGCTGCTGTGCTCCGGGCTTAGCTGTCTGCCAGTCTTGTGGGGGCGGGTAATAAGGTGTGAGTGAGGTGTGTGAGTGTGTGGTAGATACTGAAAGGGTGCCCTTTGGAAACAGTTACCAGGGTCATGGTAGCTATTGTGGGTGTGGCAGAGGGTGGAAATGGAAGCAGGGATGAATAAGGACGTTGGTTCTGGGAGTCGGTTAGGATCTGAGCCTGAGCGGACCATGATTTGATAAAGGAAGACTATAGGGTCATTCCATGGGTGGCTCTGGGCAGCAGTAATTGGAGTGGGACGGAAGTTTGAAGACGCAATATCTAGGAGGATGAAATATGAATTGACATCTTTGTTCAAATAGCTCATGAAATATCACCTCGTGTCTGAAGCTTGCCTTGACTTGGAATATTGGCAGTGGGTCTTCTGGCCCCTTGTAAAATGTGTATGTTTTAGGAGCACGCTGTACTTACTTGAAAGTTAGTCAGTATGTATCTAACTTACGAAATGACAGCTTCCTGCTCTAGAGACAGAACAGTACAGCCTAGTTCTCAGGTTCTGTGCTGACTCGCCTACCCTCGTGAAATGGTACAAGGAAATCAGCTACTTTGGTTTATTTATTTTTTATATTCAGCAGGCTCTTACTAAACGTTGACTTATGTCATGCCCTGTGCTGGGTTCTGGGGATTGAAAGGACAGGGTTCCCCTTGGGAGCACTCTCTGTTCCATTCCTTCTGCGACACCGGAGAGGCAGCTGTTTTTAGGATTCCTGTTTCTTTCTCCCTCTACCAAGGGGTAGGTGAGAGACTCCCTCTGCCTTGCCTCTCATCTCCTAAGCTCCTGGAGGTGGTGATTTAGGGCGAGGTTTCCATCAGGATTACTTGATGAGCTTATGAGAAAGACAGATTCCAGCATCACACGGCCTTGGGGACCTAGTTCGGCCCCTGACCTTGAGACCATGTCCTTCTGGTTTGGGTTGGGAATGAGATGGAGAGAGGGGAATGTTTGAAGCAAAGAAGTAGAATATAAGGTAAAGTAAGACATATCTCCAGAGGCAGGGAGAACAACACATCCTTGGGGGAAAAAAATAAAAAATAAGTACACAGTCAGTTTCAGTTGCTGTTGTGGTTCTGACTGAGCTTGAGAGGGAGGGCTCAGTGAAGACAGTGTCTTGGTGGAGTGTTTAAAACTTGCGCTCTAGAGACAAGCTATTGAATTTAAATTCTGACCCCACTGTTAGTCACTTATGACCTTGGACAAGCCACTGAAATCTTCTGTCTCACTTCCATCATCTGTAAACTAGGAGAATGACTTAAACAAGCTCCTACCTATGAAGCATGGAGAGTGTAGTCAGTACTTGATAATTGTTCGTTTCCAAGCCCACCTAGCCTTCTCCACACTACCTGGTGTTTTTTGAGCCCGTAAAGGGTCTCTGTGGGGAGTGTGTGGGCCTATGGAGGGAGAACCTTCTCGAGGCATGGCTTTAGGCCAGCGCCTGCCCAGTGGCTTTGGAGCAGGCTGTGGGGTTTCCACCCACCTGCTTGGATTAGGCTGAAGGGCTTGCTCTCAAGCTTTGCAGCCTTCTCTCGGTGTGGCTCCAGGTACCAGCAGGCTACGGACGTCGGTGACTTTGCTGCTTCTCTGCTCTCTTCCAGGGATGGTGCCTTGAGTGAATGACCCCTTTGGAGAACATTCTTCTGCGCCCCTCACCACAAGCCAGGACAGCCGGAAGACTGTGCCCACAGCATCTCGTCTGCACAGAGACGCTCCTGCCTTTCCCAAGGCTTCCAGAAGCTCTGAGGTGGGAGACGCCCAGTTCCACCTCATGTTTGGGGGATCTTGCTAGCTATGTCCCTGCTACTCGGCTCCCTGCTGCTGCTGGGGCTGTGCGGAAACACCGTGTCAGGAGGGCAGCCTTCAACCACAGATGCTCCTAGGACTTGGAATTATGAATTGCCTGAAACGAATTATGAGACCCAAGATTCCTACAAAGCGGGGCCCATTGGCATTCTCTATCGAATAGTGCACATCTTTCTCTACGTGGTGCAGCCGCGTGCTTTCCCCGAAGGTAAGTGCCCATGGCGGGAAATGGGTTTTTCTCCAAACACACCCAAGATACTGTATTTCAATGTCAGTGCAATCAAGCATAATATATTCGGTATTTTGAAGTATGAGATTCAAAATGACTGATCTGCACAGGAGCAGAAAACATTTAGGCAGAAATTAAACTTGTACCAGGTTACACAGGCTGGCAGGAGTGTAATAAGAAGTAGAATTAAACTGTATTGCTATGTTGGTTTTCCAGGTATTTATGTTTTTGTTGTTGTTGTTCATACATAAAAAAGAGCAACGAACTATTCTAAGGCACATACCAAAGGTAAAAATCGGGGTGAAGTTAAGGTAAAAGTGCAAATTGTCATCAAATGAGAAATTAATAATTACCTGGCTTCTGATTCGCATTTCAACATTTAACTCTCCTCCATCCACCACAAAACGCAATTTTGACATTGCTTAGAGCAAGGACCGGTCTCTCCAGACTGGTTTTCCTGATTAAGTATTTTTTTCAGTTCTAAGAGCTTGGATGTGAGGAGAAGCGTGCTGACTGGCTGGCGTTTTTATGGCCTAGTGCTATTCTTCTTCTTTGCTCTTCATGTGCAGTGCAGTTTGCCATGTCAGCCTTCTTACTGTTGTTTATCCTGCTCATCTGAATTTGGGGGTGTGTGTTTGTGGAAACAGGATTAAGAAAATTAAGACATTCTATGTGTAGTATCTGCTACTAGGCTTTGGCATCCTACGTTTTTGACTGACTCAGTGTTAGATCTATCTATCCTAAGCTTGTTCTTTAAATTGTAAAGATTTGAATGCTATCATTGATTTTAAAATTTGTTGGGGTTTTGGGTTTTTTTTTTTTTTTTTTGAGTCAGAGTCTCACTCTGTCACCCAGGCTGGGAGTGCGGAGGCCACCACAGCCTTTACCTGCTTGGGCTCAGGTGATCCTTCTGCCTCAGCCTTCCAACTAGCTGGAACTACAGGTGCATGCCTCCATGCCTGGCTAATTTTTAAAATTTACTGTAGAGACAAGGGCTCGCCAAGTTGCCCAGGCTGGCGTTGAACCCCAGGGTTCAGGCAGTCTTCTCGCTTCTGCCTCCCAAAGTGGTGGGAGTAATATTCGTTTCCCTGAGCTGGTCTTATTTTTGTGTTTGTGTGAGAATTTGGGTATGAAAGAGAGAGGTGGGAAAGAGGGGCGAGGAAAGGAGAGAGAGGATGTATTTTTGAGCCTCATTACTTGTTTAAATATTATGGGGAGTTTATAGATTTTAATTAGAATACATTTTTATTGAATTTTAAAATATTTGTTTTAGATTGAGCAATTAAAACAGTTTGAAGTGTAGTTGTCAATTTTTTGTTAGTTAAAATTTCAATTCAATGAAACATATCACTTGGAGCCCTCATTGTCATTAACAAGAGTTCTGAACTAATGATTACTGTTTATGACACTATTTAAAAGACCTGCCTTTGGAAATCCAAAAGACAAGTAGGAAATAAACTGAGTTTAATTATCAACATTGAATATGAATTAACTCTTCTGAATAGATATCTCAGTTTATTTGTAGACAATGTATTATTGAATAAACAAATACCTACTATTGTTTTTAGTCTTTGCTTTTTTGTTTTAATATAAAAGGCATAGGATTCAGTTATTGAATATGAATTTGCAATGACTTATTTGAAAAGATCGGAAAGCTTCACATGTCTCATTCTAAGGCATATCATGTAATTAGTTAATCCCATAATCTCTTTCCATATGTTCTCTTTTAATCCCATTAGCTTTCATTGGAAGGTTTCCTCATGCTTATTTTATAAGTGATAGCAGTATTTTTTAAGGCCTTCATTCAGATGACCAGTTTAGAATACATCCTTTGCACAAACTTTTAATGCATTCCAAGTTTTTGAACTCCAACTACATTGTTAGACTAGAAGGAGGCATCCAAATAATTTAAATCCTAACATAATCTGAGGGTGTTAGCCTAGTTTGTCTCTTGACCTTCATGGATACTTATTACCTTGGAGGTAGAAACTTCCAAAAGTTTCAGCAGAAGACCAGCATTACTCCTTTGGGAAAAAAATGATTTGGTTGCTTAAAGAATATAATATTGAATTTAGCCAGGTGCAGTGGCTTGTGACTGAGGCAGGAGGATCTCTTGAGTCCAGGAATTCAAGGTTGCAGTAAGCTGTGATCATGCCATTGCACTGCAGCCTGGCCAATAAAGCAAGACCCTGGCTCTGGCTCTAAATATGTATATGTATGTGTGTGTGTGTGTGTGTGTGTGTGTGTGTGTGTGTGTGTGTGTGTATTATTGACTTTAACAGATGCATCTTAACAAAAAAAGAGGAATCTCAGAGTGTTGGTTTTTTCCTACCATCCCATTTTTTGTATTCTTTTTTAGTATTTTTTCTTTATGTATTTATGCTTATTTTTATTTTCTTTTACCCAGTTACTAATGACATCATAGTCTCAAAGTGTCCACTGGGTGCTTTGCTATGGAGAGGACATACGTGAGACAATCTTGATTTTTCCATTTTGGGCCAGTGCATTTCACGGGAACTGAGTCATAGGTAATGTCCTCATAACTGAAGATGCAAAAAACCAAGAAAGGGAGACGGGGGATAGGTGATGGGGGGGAAGGGAGAGAGAGAGGGAGAGAGAGAACACACATGTGTGCAATGGATTCCTATTTATTGTTTATTAGGTTGAGTAGCTTAGTACAGTAACCACTGAAGACTTCAGGACTAGTCCTCTGTGGAGTAGTGTTTTCATGGAAGATGCTATCCCTTAAGTATATTTTTCATTTAAAAGAGTAGAGGTGCTTTGAATGCAAAGTTCTAGTGCAAGTTGAAGAATGGAAAACGGAGGGAGGGACAGCCCTGCAGCCTGGGCTTCCTCTTTTCTTGCCATCTGACAGAGAGTTTTTCACTTTTGTATTCTGTTTGACCAACCAAATTGGTTTACCAAATTTTGCACTTAAAACAATGTTGTACTCTCTTAATTTAATTTAATATTTAATTTTAATTCGGGGTCTCACACCGTCGCCCAGGCAGTAGCACAATCATGGCTCACTGCAGCCTCGATCTTTTGGGCTCAGGGAATCCTTCTGCCTCAGCCTCCCCAAGTACTGGGATTACAGGCGCATGCCACCACATTTGGCTAATTTTGAAATTTATTTTATTTTATTTTATTTTATTTGTAGAGATGAGGTCTCGCTATGTTGCCTAGGTTGGACTCAAACTCCTGGACTCAAGCAGTCCTGCCTTGGCCTCCCAGACTACTGGGATTACGGTTGTGACCCACTGTGCCCCTCCAGAATTTGGTTTAAGTCCTACTTCTTACCTCCCACTGGGTGATCTGGGTCAAGTTGGTTAGCTTTCAGACATCCTTTTCTCTTAGAAGCAATATGACTGTCATCATAGCCCACTTTATAGCTTTTGTTTGTGAGGGCTACATGAGATAATGTATGTGAAACCTATGTTTAAATCCATGCCTGAAAGGCACAGAGAAAAACTCTCATTAGTTGTAGTTACTGCTAACTTTATTATTTGAGAGGAAGAATTAACCAAGATCGGTCATTCGGTAGGGGATTTAGGAATAAGAATGCATTTCCGGGGGGGGTGATCATTGAAATGTCCTTGTTGTTGCCCCCTCAGAACATTCTGTATGGAACTGCCTCATAAGAAACAGTCTCATGACTTTTGAGACTAAGTGGGCTGTGTCTTTTTGGCATGCCCAACCGTAGCAGAGCGGGGTCGAGAAGCCAGGGCTCAGATTCAACGCTAGTTTACTGAGTGGTCTTTACTCTTCCACAAAAACGTCTACATTTAACAGGCTCCTGATTTTCTCTGTTTCTTTGTTCTTTTCTGCTGTTCCTAGTATCTGCTGTAAAGCTTGCTTTGTTAAGTGTTAGCTCATTTGATTCTCCTGTTAAACGAAATCATCGGTCTTGGTTCTGGACTGAGTTTCTGCTCTAGGCCCCAACAGACCAGACCAAACCAAACTGGAGTCCCTCATGCTAAATGTGACATAATCGAACTGAAACTTGAAGGAAGCAGATAGCTTGATTCTAAAAAGACTGGCTTTTTCTTCCCGCCTGAAAACAGAGTCCAGCATAATAAGGAAATCCACTTTGCTGTAACCTTTAAAAAAACAAAACAAAACAAAACAAAAACGTGAAATAACCCACCAGATTTCTTTCTGTTGTTCAGTTTCCTTGTTTCCACCTCACAAAACCCATTGTTCTGCTGTTTTCCAGTGGGATTTGAGGTGAAACAAGTCCACTTAAGGTGGTGACAAAGTGACTTCAGTGCTTAAGTATTTGGCCTCCCTCTCAAAATTGACCAAACCGACCACCCTCTCAACTTGGACTAATTGACTAAAATCGACTAACTTCTCAGTTTTGAGAGGTTGATCAAAAGTGGGGAAATTGTTAAATTTAGCCTAAAGCTGCCTCCTCACTTATTTTAAGTTCAACCTAAAGATTTCTGCATTCATAGTGAACTGTGACCTAACTGGATGCATAAACAGACTAATTTACTCTTGTAACAAAGAAGCTGAGTCCCAGCCAATCACAGCAGCCGAGTTTCAGCCAGTCACAGGCAGCCAACTGTTCAAATTATGCTCAACTAAGGCAACGCTGGGTTGTAACCAATTCAGCTGTTTCAGTACCTCACTTCCATTTTCTGCATGTCACTTTTCTTTTAACACCCATAAGTGTTATAAGACCATGTGGCAGCCTCAGAGTCTCTGAACCTGTTCTGGTTCTGGGTGTTTCCTGATTTGTGAATTGTTCTTTGCTCAATTAAACTCTATTAAATTTAATTTGTCAAGGTTTTATTTTTAACACTTCCAACAGCTTTGGGAGGTAGATGATGTTGGTAGGTGGTGGTATTTTTTATACTCTCCTTTTCAGGTTGGAGAACTAAATCTGAAAGAGATTACATGTCCAAGGTACACACTGACTTATAATAGATTGAGAAACTCCCCTCTCTAGGACTAGTTATGTCTCCTACAAACTA